TTTTATTTGTTATATATTACAATTTTGTTGTTGAACTTGTTGCTAGCAGCGTTACTATTCTGTGGATGGCATGCGATCTTCAGTTGCTGTTCAGTTCTAATTTTATTTTTGCACATGATCGAATTCACAGGTCGGATCACGTTGAGAAGCAAGAATCCGCTCGACCCGCCGATAATCTGGAGCAACGATTTGGCGACGGAGCACGATCGGAGCGTGATGATTCAGGCGATCCGCGTTGTCCAGAGATTGGTGAACACGACCACGATGAGGAATCTCGGTGTGGAATTGCAAGAGATAGATCTGCCTGCTTGCGACAAGTTGGAGAAGGATAGCGACGATTACTGGAACTGCGTGATACAGTACAACACGAGGGCCGAAAATCACCAGACAGGCACCGCGAGGATGGGCTACGATCGCATGGCTGTGGTCTCACCTCGGCTGAAGGTGCACGGTGTCAGGGGACTGAGAGTCGCAGACGCCTCCGTCCAGCCTCAGGTACGCCCTCGATTCGTTGTCGATGCTCGTCGGATGATTCGTTATCGCTCGTTTCAGGTGATCTCGGGCAATCCCGTTGCCTCGGTCAACATGGTCGGCGAGAGAGCGGCCGACTTCATCAAGGAAGATTGGGGAGAAGATATGTATATGTAGATCGACGACCTGTGTGCTTTCCACGTGTGCTTATATATATATATATATATAAAACTACTTATTCCGAAGCGTATCCATCCACGTTTTCTTCTTCCAAATTATACCTCCTTTCTTCACACAGTTTCATAGGAGAAAAGAAAAAGTAAGAAGTTTATTTATTCGTGGCAGTCGGTTCGAGGGGAATGGCAATGAAGCGTGGTTTGATTAAAATTAATTAATAACAGGATGGATAAGCGCACTTGACCTCCTTTCGAACGATCGAAGAATCGTTTTCTTTCCCCTATGCGAACTAATTGCTTGAGAAAAAGAGAGAAGGGAAGAGCGCCAATGATTCGTTTAAAATATTCATCGAGGGCGAGCAAGTATCCTTGGATGCTCGGCGACGGCCTTACTTTCACTAAGAAAATGGCAGCCGGTGAATATCGTGCGCGCGAGTTATTACTCGAAGGTAAATCCAATGCTCGAAGAGGCTGATCGAGGTATTATTTATGCGAAACCGTCGCCTGGAAATATCACGATCGAGGACGTTTCTTTTTCCTCGACTTTTCCCTTTAATTCCCTCCCCGCAAATCGGACGAAAATTTAATCAAATGCATGCGAGTGACACAATTTTTCATCCGTTGAAGAATGAAAGAACGAGCCTTCCCTTATCCAAATTATTTCCCCAATTCCTGTTTCACGGATACATGTATATTCACTCGACGCGGTTCAATTCGATCGAATACGAATCGAATAGGAAATATTTCGTGCCACAATTCGCCGTCCATCTTGATTATCCGGAACAGTGGGAACTCTGATTAATTTGCGTCACGGAGTCGGCACAAAATACGCAAAATTTTCTAGATGCATCTCGAAAAAAAGAAGAAATAAGCCGTGAGTTCAACGACACGGCTGAAAGAATAATAAAAAGAGGGGGAGGAGGAGGAGAAGATTCGTCCGACAAATTGAAGGATCGAGAGAGAGAGAGCAGGAAAGGTTGAACGGATGATGATATAAACAAATTATAAATAAAACATCCGCTGTACGTACAGGCGGGTGTCGCGCGCGACGCTGTACCCGCTCGTCGTCGCCCTTGTCCCGCTGTAACGACTGCTTTGAATTTCATGAGGGTGCGAATGAATTCATGGGTTTGCACGGCTTCCAACGCCCCCACCACGGCAAAATCCACAGGAATCCGGCCGTAATTGGAGAAATAATAACGAGCGTGTCCTAAGATCGAGCTCCCCCTCGAAAATATCCAATGCAAGTTTCGTACGAGGAAGCATTCCGAGAGGGGTGGTCGAATCTCGAGGGTTCTTTGTAGCTGTGCATCCAGTCTGGGGACGCATGAAGCATGGGTGGACAAAAGGAAGAGGAAGAAACCCGGTTAAACAGAGGCGTGCCTCCACTCGTCTCTTTCGGAGACTCATCTCGAGTAATTGCGGATAAGAATAGGCCGCGCTTTGCAATTCGAGATTTATTTCGTTCGTCGTTTCCATCCTGCTTCCGTGATACCAAGTTCTCGCCGTCGAGGCAGGTGTTTCGAATCACTGATTCTCTCTCGCGCGCCATCGATCCTTATAAGTTAAAGTGAAGCTTAATTTCAAATCCTCCGTCGAAAGGCGTGGAGGATCCAGGTACAGCTCGGGAATGAGGAATAAGGGCGGAGAAAAAAATAGGTTTGAATGCGGCTGGGCTCTTTTCTAGTATTCCCAGGCGGAAACGCGATAGGTAATTAACCTCGTTGCTTCTTCTTCGTTTTCTTCCAGCGATACAAACGCGATCTTGAAATTGTTGGGGCCGGCCTCGACCGCAACGATATATGCAGAAATGCCGCGTCCCGATCTTACGCCCCCAAATCCTTTAACACGTTCAGAACAGAACAGAAGGTTTAAAACAGAAATAGTTTTAACGTTTTTATTTTATATATTTCACGTATTAGTTCTTAGAGTTCGTTAACTAATTCTGTAATCCCGATTCTGAATTAATTGTGCGTCCACTTCTACTTTGTTCGTTCCCAAGATCGATCAATTTTTAAGTGCTTTGGTCTGAATACTTATTTGGCAACTTCAATACACGAAAATTGCAATAATCTCCTTTCTGTTATTTCTCAAATTTTAAATTGATTCCAAAGTATACTTTATTTATATCTCAGTGCTCATCCCATTAAAATCTCTTTTAAAATCCCGCTTTAACTCTTTGCATTCGCCGTATAATCGCTGCCCTATATTTTATTGTTACACATACATTCACATTAACAGATTTACTTGTATAATTATTACCTGATGATAAAACTTGATTGATTGAATTTCGTTAAATCTAAACACGAATCTTTTATTTTTCGTGGTTTGAAGCACAGATACCGATTCGAGAGGGAAAAAATCGTCGGAAGAATCGGTTCCTTTCCTCCCCCGCGTCTCCTGTCCGCGGCATAATTTTATTATCGTCGTCGTTTTGCGTTGAAAAATCCTCGCCGCCCGTAACGCCGGTTATTAAGAATAATGATTGCCGGGCGGAAGTCCAGGCGGATACATATTCATGAGAGTAAGTGAATCGGCTAATATCTCGCCTCCCCTTTCCTTTCTCCAACGATAAAGGAAGGGGGAACTTTTCTCGAAACGCCGGACAATCTTTCGTCATTCCAAAAGGTCAGGCTCGAGAAATTCAATCAATATTATCCTCCCTGGAGTATCCTCACTCGTGTTTTTCACGCCTGCAGTTTTATTTATTCACGCTTTAATTACCGTCCTCTCCGCGCACGTGGCGCAGCCCACGAAACGAGAAACTTGAGATTAATGCGGCTTGGTTAACGTACTCCTCAGCGAGAAACTTGCGCGTGCTTTGGAAGCGGAAGAGAAAGGAGGGAGGGGGGAGAGAGAGAGAGAGAGAGAGAGAAATGATAAAAGTAACGGGGACGAGTAATGTCGTTATTCATCGGGTGTTTCCTACGCTGTCTCGGAATGATGTTGGCCAGGGCTTTTCAGCCTCTCTTTGTTCTAGAAACAAACGGTCGACCCGTGAAATACTTGACTCCGTTTCATCCCTCTTTACGACCCCGATTTCAACCTTCCTACAAGTCGGTTTGAGAAATTCCCTCGAAAATTTTATCGTGCAACGAAATTGCTTCCTCCCCCCCCAACATCCTTGACCACTCGATATTTCCTCTCTCTCTCTCTTTCCATTTCCACAAAATATTCCACGCTCCAGAGAGACGCGCGAAGAAAAAGCGTGACTCTTTAAAGGAGTGGAGGGGAAAGAGCGAAGTTGTCTGCATTCGAGTAGCAAGATGGTATCGAGGCGGGTCGAAGGGGGCTGCATTCATCCGAGCAGATAACATCGCTTGTTAAATCGAGCCTCGTGTAGTCAGCACGCTGCCCGCCACCAACATCCTACTCGGGCGATAGGCGAGTTCGGTCGCCTTCCCTCCCCTATTGTCTCCTCCGCAATGGCGGCGATCAACGCTTAAGAATTTCGACGACGTTTCGAAAGAAATTTCTTTTTTTCCTTTTCCGAATTATTATAGTTCGAGACATTGGGGAGGGGCGGGTTTCGAGGCATTTCAATCCGGTGATTCTTCGCTCCGTGACGGGAGGAGGAGGAGGCCATCGATGCCAAAACGAGCGTCGCGTCGATGGCCGGCCTCGAAACGGGAGAGTATCGATCGTTGTCAGTTTCAGGCGCGCTGGGTGAAAAAGCTCTCGGCAATCGAGTCAGCTGTTACGCGTAACGCGGTTAACTGTCGCGTCTCCGCGACGTCAATATTGATCCCCTACTTTTTCCTTTTTTCTTCTTTTTTTTTTTTTTTGTTCATTAGAACAAAAGCTATCGATGATCGGCCTGTTCCCGACGAGTGTCGAATCGACGTCCCGACGATGATTAATCGTCACGCTCGCCACTCTGCCGCCCTTTCATCGCAACCCTCCTTCGCGAGAATCGCAATTTTTCCATTTTCGCGCGGATAATTATTATTTAAATTGAAACGAGAATTACGAATCGATGATCAGATCGCTAATAAATTCGATTGCTCGAAATACAGGTGGAAAGTGTTTCGTTCAATTCACACGCGGGTCGTGATCGTTCCGCGACAAGTGGAATATACCCATTTAAAAAGGAAAACAACAGTCCGAGAAGAGAATCTCGACGAGAACACGTCACTCTCGATCATCCCCCCGCGACGAGCGCTTGGAGATGAAAAATCGGGGGAGACAGAATTTCGCAAGTGGAGGTGGATAAATAAATGGCGCGTTGCAAATCCTTACGAGGATTATCGCTCGAGAGCCACCGTTGAAAATCGTTGAAATTAAGAGGGAGAATTTGCGAAAATGTTTCCGTTTCAACGGGTTCTGCTTCTCGAAATTCTCGAATATTCCGTGTAATGCGATCCTCTTACGATGCAAAATCTACCATTTATACTCGAGCATTATTCAAACGCGTAGATATATAATAATTAAATATAATTGCGTAAATCCTCTCGAAAAAGTTGGACGAGCAGCGAATTGGCTGACGCGTCTCGCTAAATTAACCGTATTCGAATGAAAAGCGATCAAAGCTGGGCAAAGTGACGGAGCAACCTCAAACGTCTCTTCTTCTTTGTTAAAATTCTCCTTCATTCCATTCGCAGCCTAATTACCATCCCCTCCTTCTCCTCTCAGATAAATTTTTCCGAGAGTCTGCCAAATTAATAGACACGTATTTGTTCAACAGATACGATATTTTGCCTCGACAAGATTCGAGTCGAGCAATTGTCCAACTTCTTGCCCCCCCTTTCCGTACGAAAAAGTTTTCGCACACGCTTGATCAACTCTTGCACGCCCTCTGTTAAGCATAATTGGGCCGACGAAACGGAAGGTATCGATGGGGGGGTGGGGAAAGAAAAGGAAAAAAAGAAAAGGAAAACCGGCATCGTTTCCAACCCACTAACTACGAATACTACGCTACTCCCAACGACCCACTTTTCTCTTCGTTCCATACACACATATATATATATATATAAGGAAAGGCCGCCCCTCGCTAAACTTTACTTTCCTTCCGCTCGGCGTAACCTCCACCACCACCTCCTTTTCCTGCCCCCAACGAGCCATTCTCTTCGTCATT